GTCCTCATTAGTATATTGAGTGGTTTTGGTAGGTGCTAATTGTGTTTATTTATTCTGCAAATCAGCAACATTGATTAATTCGAAACCAATCCGAATATTGTCTTTGACATATGCACACAAAAAGAATACGAAATCACTATTATTCTGCTTGGAGGAAACTGTAAACTTGACCCTCTGAGTCTCAACAACAGCAGTTGAATTGAAACCATTAATTGAGAAATTAACGGGCCACCTACTAAGCCGAGATTATTGACGAGTGACGAAGACACCAAAGAGTGAGTTGATGCACTATCACAAAGAACGAACGTCACGAGACTGGTTACATCCGAGGACTTACCAATTGTTGCAATTGGCAACAACCCTGTAGACGATTCAATGTCATGTACATCACTAACAGCGGCGTGGGTGGGAGTGCTTGTATTCTCCTTGGACTTGTTTGTTCCAGCCTTATTTTTTCGAGCATTATCGAGGCAAGCGAAGCAAAGCTTCTGTTCAGCTACGTATTTTGTTCACTGAGTAGCATTCTTTTCTTGAAAAAAGGACAGATCCACCATGCATGACTACCTTTACAAAAACGCATTGGGAAACTTAAACTGATCCTGTCCTTTACTAGTTACCTTGCTATTGGCTGCAAAAACTTTGGTTGTTTTTGGCTCAACTGTTCCAGGTTTTTTGCCTGAGACTTAAATACACGTAATCTCTCATGCCCCTCGGCCTTTTCTTTCAACCAGTTCCTAGAATTTAAGAGTGTTGGGCGCTGCCAATTATGCCTGACAGTATGCATTGACCAAGCTTCCTTGAGGTTAGGCGGAAGTTTACTAACAGCTTGGCTTAACAGTTTCACACTATTTAGATCATATTTAAATGACAATGATTTGAAAACTGCTACGAGGTCAGATTTTGCAGAGGAGAAACTAATGACATTTTCCGAATTGTGCATCTTAAGTGGAAGAAAAGTTTTGAGCTTATCAAGATGCGCACCAACAATAGCGTGTTGTTGCCCAAATTTCCGTTGCAACTCTAGCAGTGCATCCTTGTACACGACGCCGCGGTTGCGGTTTTTGCTTTGCCTGTGACGAGTGTTTTTAAGTACTGATGTTGTCAGTTTCGTAACATCAGTGAGAACAGCGGAACCAACGGTGGAATTAAACTGACCAAAAAATTCGTGCCAATTTAACGGGTTGCCATCAAACTGGGCTAACTTTCATTCAGGAAGATGGTCTTTGCGGCTATGCATTATTAATTCAGCTAAATCACAAGCGGAGGGAGGTCAATCCGATGAACAACCTTGATTCGGATTAACAGAAGACGGTACGTAGTCTTCGTTGACTGGCTGATAACCAGTATTACTATTATTGAGAAAACGCGGAAATTGCTGAGAATGAACTGGCGGAGTATTAAAATATGCAGTCCCACCACTAGTAAACGGAGCGGCGGTGTTACGCGGTGGGACAACAGTTGTCACATTAGAAAATAAAGTTTCCAGCATCACGAAACTGAACAGGCGTGACTATTGGAGTTGTAGCGACAATTGTCAAAAGTTTGCATCACTTGTATGGTAATCGTTGTTATGAGGTGACACAGTATGCGGTACAAAGGGAACACTACGTTGCATCTGGACTGGCGCCGCATGGCAATGAGGTGCCGAAAGAAAAACCGGATGTGGGTTTACTCCAAAGGATGAGAAGTCAGCACCAGCGAAAGCTGGTGACAAAGAAACAAAACCAGTAGCGCATTGTGCCGGTAACATTAGGACAGGCAATGATTCGGGTTGCCAGATGGCAAAACTACCATTAGTTATGTTTGAACTCATGGTCTGTAAGGAACAGAAGGTGGTGGTGGTAACATGTGTGCACTAGCATGGATAATGTTAACTGGGATCGAAGCAGATGGAACAGAAGCTTGCAATGGCAAAAGGCTTGCACTACCAAACTGAGGCATTTGCCACTGTCCATGACTATGGATTCCAGGTTCACTCAATGCTGTGAGCTCATGGTTATGACTATTACTCGTGTTAATTGCATGAACAAGGTTGGCGGAATTCGTCGGTTCTGACGAAACTGTTCAGTAGTGGAGGCCAGCAAACCTAGCGCACGAGCACTCTCAGAAGGTGTATGTGAGCTAACAGAGTCTACCCAAGCAATAGTTTGACCTATTGCAATTTTTGAAATGAGCTGACTTACTCTCGTCCAATCACTTTTCGCTACCTTCTCGCTAAAGTCCGACGAATTATTATCAATTTCAAAGCCGCTTTCATTTCCATTTCAAATTGTTGCTTTTTATGAAGTTCAGCCAATTGCTCTAGTTTCAGCTGACTTTGTTCAAACTTAAGCTCTTCAAGCCTTATAGATACTTGATACTGTCTTTCCAGCTTCTGTTGCTGCCTGGTTTTGTAAAACAATTATCTTTGCCGCGCTTCTGGGACAGAGCGGAAAACTTCTGAAGCGCTTGATTCAAGGAACTAGCTCCTAGAATGAATACCATACACTCAAGGGACCTATGCCACAGATACGTTCGCTGAAGTACCAATGGGGTTGGCAAATTAAGTAGGTCGGTTGAACTCCAACAACACACAGGGAGTAAACCTGATGATAAAAGAACTCAACTTAACCCATTTAATATCACCGTACCTGACCACCTAACATTACTGCCACGCAACGAAGTCAATAATCGGTTGGACAAAAACGGCTTTGATACACTTGAAACGATTTGGCTTTCAGTTTCACCGAAGGTGGGTGGGCGATCAGGCAAATTGGTCAAGTTCCAACAACACACACGGAAGAAACCTGAGGTTGAAAAAACTCAACTTGTTTTGCCTAATATTTTGCTACAGGACCACTTAACATAAGGTTGGTGTCATCTTACAGCACTGTTTCGCAGAATTCTGGGAATGTTTTGAGAATTTTTTAAACAATTTTTTTAAACGTTTTTCACAAAAATTTGAGGAAAATATGATCACCGGGTTCGAGTCATAAACCAATCTAAAAAACTAGTCCAGTACCTCTTGTCTATGTTCCAATTTCATAGATTAATACACCGTTCAATTATATCCAAAAATTTTGGAATCGAGATAAAGTTATCAAGCAGTTTTTTTAAGTACCAATTGTTAGATATTTCAGTTCAACGGAACTGTCCAAAAGTTTTGGGTAGTGAGAAAAATTACCGGGTGCTAGCTTGCGGGAAAAATTTAAGCGTATAGTATATCGTATAAAATTTTATAGGACAAATAGAAAGTTTCAAAATTAGCCGGGTCTTACAGTTTATGTAGAATTAGGAAAATGGCGGCACCGGTTTTGGGTCTACAAACAATCGGCCAGACGCAGAGAAGTTGTTCGATGATTGTTTTATATCTTCTACAAAACGTCTGTAGCCGGCCTGCGCTTGACAACTGAATCGACACCAATCAGTTCTGTGGGTTACAGGCTGGCACGAAAATGAAATCATCGTGGAAGAAAGAATCGAACTATGAAGAATCGCTTTCTGTCGCTGCACTATTATCTGCGTTTTTCGAAAGAACGGCGCGAAATTCAGGTTATGGGAATAAAGATAAACGATCGGACCCTTGTGTTGCTGTGGGCACTGTGGGCACTGTCGGGCCGACCACTTGTCGGGAAACTGTCCGAGAAACTCTCGAAAGGGAATTATCAACGTGGTCCCTAGTCTTGAAAAGAAAAAAGTCGTGAAGAGAAAGACCTCGATATCCCTTCTGTCCCTAATTCTGTCCCAATCTCCGTAAGTTGGTAAAAACTATAAGGTCGAATGCTCGAATTATTCAGAGCATTCATCGGCAAAACTATCTGAAACTCAATATTTCATCAGAATTTCGTTGAAGCATAACATCATATAACATCAAAAAACTGCACCGATTATAAACTATTTCGAGGCAAGCTAGTCACAAGAACCGGTAATGTCCTTGATAACAAATGCTTTTTTAACACTCAACTAAAAAAAACAGTAAAAACGGTCTAATTGGGCTTTACCCGCACCGAGCGCCCATGGATTTAATCGATTGTAATGGATTCCCGAGACAAGAATAATCGAATATAATCCATTACGGATGTAAAATTCAGACCACGAAATCGATTGTATAGCCATTATAATTGATTCATTTTGAACAAATATAATCCATTATAAACCATTGTAATCCATTATAATCGATTAGAATCCATTATTTTTGTCACTGAAACCGATTATTGAATTACTATATGAATTACAAAAAGTTGAGACAAAAAATTTATAAATGTAACATTTTATGAAACATAACACGTAGCAACTACACTAAACAGGAAATGAGATAATTTTGAACAAAATTGTAAATTTCATGATTAACCCTCAAAAAAATCCATTATTATCGATTATAATCGATTATAATGGGTTTTATTGGGATAAAAAAATAAGGATTATAGTCCATTTTTAATGGATTATAATCGATTACTTTGTCATTTTATAGATGCTGACCAAATTATGACAATACAATCGATTATGATCCATGGGCGCTCGATGCGGGTAGCCTCTCGGTTCTACATGTTTTAAGGTCTGCGTATGGGGGGTTTTGAACTCGAAAATCTGAATATAGTACATTTGGAATACGACAGTCGGCCAACTGTGCTTGTTTGTAGTTACATTTTGGTCCGATCATATTCAAGCTTGTGTTTGGCGTATATGCATTAATACTCTCGTTTACATTTACATTGAAATAACGAGAATTACTCGGGCCCGTTACACGCTCGAAATACGAGACTAAATCTCAAAAGTTTCAAATCAGTTTTTCTCAAGACTGGGACAATTAATTAAAATTTTTTAGTTTCATTCGACCCACGACTAAAAAAGCTAGAATATGATATATCACTTAACTCATTCCGATCATTGTTTGTGGTACTTGGCGAGGAAAAAAATAAAGAACAAAACTAAAACACACCCGGATACAAAGCTCCTCCCCATTTTCACTGGTCGGAACAAAATGCACGCCACAAAAAAAAGAATAAACTAAAAAGAGTCAATATAGGAAGAGGGAAAGCACATTTCCCATACTATAACCTACCTCGGGTTGCCCTCTTTGCTGATCGTGGCTGTGCTGACAGTCAGGCTGCTGCGAAACATGGCTGCCAAGCAAACCAACCCAGGGCACAGAGGATCTTCAGTGGGTAATTCATCGAGCGCCGCCAACATGCGAACGGTTAATATTTTTTGACTGTTGAAACTTTGATTCGATTCTTGAAATTAACTTCCAACTAATTTTTGATTGAAATTGTGAAATTTTTCAAAAAAGATCCACAATTTCGCCACTATATGTAATTTAAAACCATTTTTTGAGAACATAAGAAAACCCTAAATGAAAAAATTCAGTTAACATATTTTCATTTCCAAGTGAAGATGGTCCTTGAATTTTCAAAGTTCACTTCAGAAAAAAAAAACGGTTTTAAAAATCAACAAAAGTCAGCGGCAAGATCCACAAAAAATTCAAGTGTCCCAAAAAACGCAACTCAGTTTATGGTCAGGGTAACGAACCACACTTCATTAAGCTTTGTAACAAAGTCCAGCATAAAAAGATACACATTTCCTGTAGAAAATAATGACATTCTTTATTCGCACAGATGGAACAATAATGAAAGACTACTTTTTTCATTTATAATTCCTATCTTGTCCAAAAAATTCAGATTGCCCTTTTAAGACAGACATAACATTCAAGACTGCTCCTTGATATTAGTTTCAATGAATCTTTCAAAAATATTTTTCAACTTGCATCATATGAAAAACTTCTGATTGCCAAAAAACATTCTGTAATTTTTTTAAAACTAAAACCTGAATTTTTAAAATATTTCAAGGGCCACTTCACGAAAATGGAAGGAACTATATATCGTAAAAGGTTTTAACTTCCGATCAGTTTTAGGAACTTCAAAAAAAACTTGTCAAGTTCACGTTTGTTATCACATCAAAATCCTATTAATTTTGATGGGAACTCCATAGAAACAAAAACAAAAATTCTTCTCGACCGTTTTTTTGTCCTTTTTTTTGACTAAGTATTAAATTTTGAAAAAGACCTAATTAGAGACCTAATTTTCATTTCATTTGTCCTCCAATTAAGACAGTATACTTAGGCTTCTATAATTTTTGTACGAAAAAACTTTCCAGAAAGGTTGGACAATTTTTTGAATTCTGAACTTTAATCATTGTGGCTAGAACATTATATGCTACTTGTGCAGAAATTGGATTTCATTGTTGAAGGTAGATTTTTTGGGTTGCCCCATTTATTTATTAAATAACGGGCCGCACTATTTTGGTTTTTTTTGTAATTAACGGCATGAAAACCAGAAAAACCTAGGACTAGGTTCAAGTTCACTATAGAACTCATGGAAAAATGCTGGCGTAGTTTTATATTAAAATATCGCAATTTTCATGAATGAACCAACGTATGGTTGCCCATTTGTTTATGTCTATGGTGCCCACTCTATTGTCCAACAGAGGGACAATTACTGATAATGCAAAAAAATTGACCGGATGACGCCGGAAACATGCCTGGTGGCGGATGAAGAACTGTTCATAAAGCTGTCTAAGAGACGTCAAACTTTTCAGAAATACGAAACATTGTTATTGAACGTTCTAATTCTATGGCTAGCAAAAAATTCAACACAGAGGCGAATGGGAGCTTTGCTACAACGAAAGCGTAGCATAGTAGGCTACCAAAATATAAAAAATATCAAAATAAAGAACTGGAAAAACACTTGCAAAATTCACTGATTTCTTTTTCAGAAAAATAGAGAAGAAATACAAGCATTTTGTCTTTTTTGATTTGTTTTTTTTTCTATATGAATAAATTTTTTACTGTCAAAGCTATTGCAATTTACATGCTGTGGGAATACAACCGACAGACTCTCTTCAACTGACAAACTAATAAAGATAACTTGGAATGATATGGAATAACTATAGCGTATTCTGTAATCTTTCATCAGAAAACAACAGAGTGGTTCTCTCAATCTTTAAACATTTGTTGTTAACACGGTCGACAGGTACCGACCTTGACACATTCAAAATTCAGTCATTCAATTTTCACTCACTAACTAACGCTATGACCTTCTAGCATAGAATCATAAACTTCATTGGGGGCGGCCCTCCTGCCGTAGCACACTTCTCCTCTTTCAAATGGAATTTCTGATCAACCAGAAAGTATGGTTTCAAGAACAAAGTTTATCCATGAGTTTTTAAAGTCTCAGTTTACTTTTTCAATTAGTTCTTTTTCTTCTGAGACTCCATTCTGCCACCCTTCTTAAATACTCTCATTGTTCTTCTTGCTGACGGGGATGACAAGAGCTCCTCCGCTGAGACGAGAATCGTTGCCCCACCGGAAAATCCCGGAGATTACGCCACCGATACTTCTTTCACCACATGTCGGATAGGACTGCCGGAAAACTGTGTCTGCTTCTTACTGAAAGCTCGTGAGGATGATGACTCACTGTCATCTTGATCTGCTGTGGTGTCTGGTGTACTTTTCTATGGGCTGTCCACTGATTTGTTCGGACTTGAGTCCGGTTTTGACTTGCAAGACTGCGGTATGATATTCGAGTCTAGTACTAGGTCATCCTCCGAGGAAACTGGTACTAGTCCGGCTGCGTCTGTAACAATTTCCGCATCAGGTTGAATCGTCGCTCACCTTGTCTTGTTGGTCCGGCTGTTGTCTATTTTGACTGAGTTAGTTTGACTGGAACTAATTTAGAACTGGTCAGTTGGTCGATTGGAGATGAACTTGCAACTGATGGGTTGATGATCCCACTGGAACTTGAAGAAGACCTGGTTAGGGCTAATATTGGGACTACGGGTTGGGGCGTCTGGCTTGGAGTGCTGACTCTGGTTATGTTAGGGACAATCTTCCGAAGTTTTTCCCCGGACTGGGACCGCCGAGGCTGATAACTTTGACGACGCTGTTAGTTGTCTAGGTTGGGCTTGTACCTTCGAAATTGTTGGCTCGTCCGAAGATGATGAGTTCGAGATTCTGCTTTGTGTCTTTGCCCCTTTCCCGGTTATTGTCTTGCTGGAACCTTGGCTACCTGAAACTTGAGGATTATTAACCTTAATTATATGCCACTTTTTCTAACAACTTTCCACAGTTCTGTAGTATATGTTCAAGGAGTGATTTTGACGATCTTATCCATATAATGTTTAAATAGTTGTTTCCTCGATTTGCGATTCGCCCTTTCCCGTATACTCCAACGGATTGTGATTTAGATAAGTGTAATGACACAAGTTTACTTTAGACTTGGAAATTGACAAGTCTGTTGTGTCTGGTCTGAATCTGAGAGTTCCCACTGTTAAACTATTTCTAAGTGAAGCCGCTAGTAGCTGGTTTCTGTCTGTTAAAGTGCGAAGTGCTCGGCAGCACCCTTCGTGTGACAGCATCTCTTTCCACACCATCCATCCATTGGTCGATTTAGCTAGCTGTTCGAGGGATCTATAGTATGGTGTGTCTGCAACTGATGTGCTATCCAGTTTGAACTTAGGCGACACATATTTCAGCCTTTCCTCACAACTTTGATGCGTGGTCTGCCGTCGCATGTCTCCCTTCTGCTTCTGCTGTCAGGAGGTCTCTTTTCAGATGTTGCTCGTGTAAAAGTAGTTTGGAATTAAGTTTGTCGGTCGTTAATGACCATTAATTATTTGGTTTTCTGCCAAAACGTTACTCAAAGGGGGTTATGCCTGTAATTGAGTATTTTGTTTTCGAACATCTTCAATTATCCTTTTTAAAGACGACTGAATATGGGGTGGGTTATCTTCTAACTATAAAGCTCCCAAATTCTTTGTAATGATCTGTTTTGTCGGCTCTACCAATCCGCATCGATCAGAAAATGTGATTTTTTCCTTTCGATTTGCAATATTGATTTACAGCCTTTTTCTTCAAACCGGAACATTGGTCCGTTCTAATTGCCGCTGGAACACTATGTGTAAAAGTATAATTATCTAAGAGTTTTAAAACTTTGTTGGCTTCAGTTGTTTTGGTAAGCATTGCTGTTGGATATTTCGATCAACGGTCGTTAGCTACTAAAATGTAGATTTGATTTCCTGAACCATCTGACAAAGGACAGCGTGGTCTAATTGAAGCCCCTCATTAGAAACGCTTAAAAAGCAAGAGATTAGCCCATTTTGAGAGGTCTCATCGGCTTTAAATTCTTACCTAAATTGGTGCAATTTTTGCAGTTCTTACATAGGTTTACGATGCCTCTGTGAAACCTCGGCCACATAAAAAATACTGGGCTGGGTCCACCATCGCCTACTGATCTGGATGGAAACAATGTAAAGAGGTCAACACTGCTCGTTGAAGGCAACGTGGAATTGCAGTTCTAACATGAGCAATGTTGCAGCCGTCAATCACCGCTGCTGAGTCCAAGAAGGTCTTAATATAAGGGTTTTTTTTATCGCTGTTTTCATTTGTCTAAGCGTCGCATCTTCATCTGTTAGCTCGCTGAAATTGTCTGAATCTAATATAACTGATAAGATCCATCTAATAGACTTAATATAATCAACAAGCTTAGCTCTGGTCAATTGCTTCTTTCGGAAGTTTGCAATTATGGTGGCGTACTTGGTTGGACTTAATTCGCCTGTTTCAGCTGAAAATATTCTTCTCGGTCTTATCGTTTTTGCCTTCGATTAGGTCTGGATTGACCGAGCAAAATTCTGTGTATCGGCGCAATTTCAATCAGATGTCTTCAAAAATTTTTGTTTATTTTTGGTTCTCACGATACATTCGAAATATCTAAAATTGAACAAATTTTTTAAGTCGATGAACCGCTATTGACAGAGTGATATTGACAGTTTGAAACAGTTGATTTTGTTATAAAACAGATAGGTACAGGGGGTGACTGAGTTATGTTACAGAGTTTATAAGAACACTGGGATTTCTTCCAGTAAGTTGAATACGGTTACTCGTGCATAAAACAAGTGCGCCCTCTCGCGGAGATTATCCAATATGTATTTCACTGGACTCTGATTGGTTCAATTCTGTGCTTGAATTTGTTGCGCCCTCTTGCGGAGTGCATCAATATTATAGTTAGCTAGGCTGTGATTGATTGAATTCTGAGCTTAAATTCAGTACTCGATTTTGATTGGCTTAGGTTCGTGCATAAATTAATTCTGATTGGTTAATACATCCGGATAAGATTCCATCTCCCTCTTGTGGTTTGATGCTGC